AAGATTTATTCCAAAAACCCAAAAAAAATGATGAAAATGTCTGAAAATATTTTAATCTAAAACTGGATCGGAAGAATCTATTTTTGTATTAACTGTCAAAATAGGTTGTTTTAGGAGTATTTTAACATCTTCCAACAAAAAAGTTCAGTTTTGCTCTTTAATAACCGTGAGATTTTTCATTTTCCAGGGTGTCGTATAGGTTTTGACCGCTTGCCAAATCGCTTTTCGGATGGTACGCGGTCAAGAAAAACGGTAAAGATGTGAAACGTTGTCTCCTGTGGTTATTTTCGATTGTGAATTGAATGGCGTCAACCGTTTCTTAATATCTTTTCCCAGTTTTTTTCTGTGCGCCCAAAATATAGGTGTGTCGTATAGATATTGACCGCACTGTATAATGAGGCAATCTATGGATCAAATTATGATCAGGTGAAGCCAAGAACCTTGGGGGTACATGAGAGAGTAAAGACAAGGTAAAGAGGGGTAGCAGTGGCACACTGGGACCCGGTGGCCCACCTGGAATACCTGGAAGCTCCGCCCCTTGTCTATGCGATTCTCTCCCAAGATATTCTTCCCTCATCCATTCATTCTTACTTCCTTCCTTCCTGCCTTCAACTCTCCCTCTCAATCTTAATTGAGATTTACTAGTTTATGCACTTGTTTCCTTTTTTCTTCCTTTTATTCTTTCTGTATTATAACCTAACTAAACGTTAGTTTTCAGATATGGCTACATATTTCGATCCCAATTTAATAAGCGTGTTCGATGGACACAATACGAATCACAAGTCATTAGGAATGCTGACTGAGATGGGTATCGGCGGCACGTGCGACTACGGAAATACGTATACGTAAGTATCAAAGATGGGGCAGGCGTTTCAGAAAAAAATTACTATAGGTCAGATCTCAACGCTAGATTTTCTAGTCACAATAAGCAACTAACTATTAGAAACTGAGCTTGAATAGACCAGACCACCCGTGGGAAATTTTTTCTGCCTTTTAATCATTTTATTCTAGGAGATCACATTGTGTTAAACATTTGCAGCAACCTACCGATTTACTGTAGAACCTGCATTAGAAGGTCCGGCCCTTGTATTTTTCGTGGGGTCTCTAGGGGGCACCTCAATTAGAGCATGCATTTGTATTTTTGTGGGGTTTCTGACGAGGGAACTTCTATTAGAGAGACATAAATGTTCATCGAATTTTTAAAACATCTACTTCTTACTAAGGAAACTTTTCTGTGTGTCTGTGTGTCTGTGTGTCTCGGACATTTACTTGAATAACTCACTAGGGAATGGTCAGAACTCATACCAGGATCAAGATATACTAGTGGATTCTCCGAAAAGGGGAGTGCCTCCTGATTCCAGAACAGTTTTCAAATTTTGCTAAATGGCCTGGAGAGCCGAGATATCTGTGCTCCAAAATCAAGCGATAAACTATGTAAATCCCGAGTTTTCGATCAACTGCTTCCTCTCCCCTTAAATTCCCCTCCAAACTCCGCATTCTTATCCGTCGCCGTTGACAACCAAGAAATGAGGGCCGGTGGCCGAGTGGTGTGTGCGCTTGGCTGGGAGTCTGCTTTTGCGGGTTCGAACCCTCTTCGTTTTAAAATCTTTGTTTTTATGTTTTATGGTCATTTAATGATTTTTTTAAAACTTTTTTTCATGATTTTTCACCCTTTCTGTATACATAGTAAGCCATCCTGACAATTTTACGAAATTTTGTTTTTTTTTCGAAATTTCGATTTTTTCTGATCAAATCCATGCGAAAAAAAAGAGAGAACATTTTTTTATGAATAAATGTTTGAAAATGTGTAAAATGGATTAAAAATGCCATATTCTAAGTGTTTTGTGCTTGCTGGGGAAAAGTTTTTATTTTTCAAGCCACCGTAATACCGTAATACCGAGAGGCCCACCCGACATGCGTCGTTTGAGCTCAATTATCTCGGTTGCTTCAAAAGGTATCAAAACAATTCCAACTGATAAAATGTTTATCATATTATAATAATCATTCAGCAGTTGACCACTCTTTGATAGCTTCCAAGTAACCGAGATAA